GTGGCACTGACTCCAGGCAAGCCCTCTCTGCAGCACCAAAATCCCTGCAGAATCCTGGCAGTTTTCTGCTGCCCTGGTACCCCCAGCCAGGCTGTTTCTCAGCACCTGCTTAGGCAGCATGGCTGGGTTCCCATGCAGGCCAGAGCCCATTCACATCACCTGCACACAGAGCCATAGAGCATGGGGCAACATAGACCTAGGCCAAAGCAAGGCCTTGCAGCCCAGGGTCCTGTCCACAGCAGCCCAGGTTGCAATACCATCGCAGCTTGCTCAGGGTGGCTTACAACTTTGAAAGCTGCTTGTTTCCTCCAGCTGCAGGGACACCCCCAATAGTTCTGACTTGCCTCTGAACTCCTCTCTTGAAGGATAAGATAAGGAAAACAAGGGCTGTGGACTCAATCTACCATGCAAATGCCCTTCCTGACTGGCACCAACTTTCCCTTCTTGAAGCTCTAGCCAGGATGTCTGTTTTTTTCAGTCGCAGCTGCCCAAGGCATTGGGCGTCAGGCATTCTCCTTGGTGGAGAGTGATGGTTCCACAGCACTTTGCTTCTCATATGCTTATATAGGTAGACATAGCCCCCCAAGGGCATAGCTACTTTGCTCAAAAAAGGGCTCAGTAACAACACTAGCCTTAGAAGGGCCCTAATAATATCCTCAGCCCTCCCCTCTTCTGGGGAAGTCATAGTAGTGGCACCCTGCCTACATGATGGAGGAGCTGCTGGCAGCATGGGGAGACAGTGGTGTTGCAATTTGCTCTACTCAGAAGGCTGCAGCCCAAGGGGGAGGAGAGGGGACTTCTGAAGGATGGAGAGCTGCTCAAAGTGGTTAGATTCCACATATGCTGAAACAGCAGGGCAATCTGAATGTGCAGCCTGGGGCTTCCTGGGATTTCCTGGGATTTCCTGGGAGCAGGTCCCCATGAACTTAGCCCCTCGTTCCACCAACGTGGCAGGTCCTCGGAGTCCTCAGTGACTTCTGCCAGATGCCAAAGGGGTTTCTTGGAGTGTCCGCTCAGCTAATGTTCTTGAGGGCACAGAGATGACCCAGGTATCCAGTGCAGGATCAGAGGAGGGTCTCCCCTGCTACCACTGTGCAGGTACAGCTTTGCTAGGAGGAGGGAGGACATACAAGAACATCCACGAGGTGTCTGCCTGGCTGATAGCATCCCACTTACCAGCTAAGTGTAAGCCACATATGGCCAGGTCACTGAGACCATGAATAAATTCAGATGCTGCTTAGATGGATTTCAAAATAACTGTCTACTCAGAAGAGTAGATCAAGAAACCCTGGGCCTGGAAAAACAAGGAAGACTTTCCTGGCAGAGAAATTTCCTGGGGGCACCTGAGATTACCACTTGTTAGGGTAAAGGAGCAGCAGATAGAGCAGAAGAGTAGAGTGGGTATGCCCCACTCTATCAGGGAGAATAGCCCTGTAAAGTAGCTGAAAACAAGTTGTGCCCCGAAGCCCACCATGTACTTGCTGTGAGCCTGGTGTACCACTTCCAAACAAAAGGAAAAGTGTTGATCCTGTTGCCACAGAATGGGTACCTGATACCTAGGAAAGGGAGTTTAAAGTCTCCACTTAGAGAATGGTAGCAATAGATGAGCTTCCAAGTAGGATGAAGAGCAGTGGATGTTGTCTACCTTGAATTCAGCAAGGCTTTGGACACTGTCTCCCGTCACATCCTCACAGGGAAACTCAGGAAGTGTGGGTTAGGTGAGTGGCCAGTGAGGTGGACTGAGAACTGGCTGGATGGCCGAGCTCAGAGGGCTGTAGTCAGTGGCGCAGAGTCAAGTTGGAGGATCCTGTAGCTAGCGGTGTCCCCCAGGGGTCAGTCCTGGCTCCAGTCTTGTTCAATATATTCATCAATGACCTGGAGGAAGGGACAGAGTGCACCCTCAGCAAGTTTGCTGATGATACTAAACTGGGGGGAGTGGCTGACACACCAGAAGACTGTGCTGCCATTCAGAGGGACCTGGACAGGCTGGAGAGGTGGGCGGAGAGGAACCTCCTGAAGGTCAACAAAGCAGTGTGCCCTTGTGGCCAGGAGGGCCAATGGTATCCCGGGTTGCCTTAGGCAGAGTGTTGCCAGCAGGTGGAGGGAGGTGATCCTGCCCCTCTCCTCAGCCCTGGGGAGGCCTCACCCGGAGTACTGTGTCCAATTCTGGGCTGCTCCCCAGGACAAGAGAGGCATGGCACTCCTGGAGAGAGTCCAGCAGAGGCCTGGGAAGATGATGAGGGGACTGGAGCATGTCTCCTGTGAAGAAAGGCTGCGAGAGCTGGGCCTGTTGAGCCTGGAGGAGAGAAGACTGAGCGGGGATCTCATCAATGCCTACAAGTATCTGAAGAGGGCGGTGTCAAGAGGATGAGGCCAGACTCTTCTCCGCGGTGCCCAGCGATAGGACGAGAGGCAACGGGCATAAACTGAACCACAGGCAGTTCCATCTGAACAGGAGGGAAAAGTTCTTCCCTGTGAGGGTGACGGAGCACTGGAAGAGGTTGCCCAGAGAGGTAGTGGAGTCTCCTTCCCTGGAGATATTCAAAACCCGCCTGGATGCGATCCTGGGCAATGTGCTCTAGAGGACCCTGCATGAGCAAGCAGGTTGGACTAGCTGATCTCCAGAGGTCCCTTCCAACTTCAACCATTCTGTGATTCTGTGATCTGCAAACATAGGCCTAGGTCCACTGCACTCAAAGATAGATTGATTTCAATGAGCTCAGGTGTGCTTGTTTCACACTGCAAGATAAACTGGGCTTATTTCTGAGATGGAGGATCACTGACAGCAACTTGAGGTTGCAAAATAAGCCAGATGCTTTAGCAAGGGAAGCAACAAAGAGGATTACAGTTCTCCTGACTATGCCAAGCTCTCCCATGGCATGAGCTACAGTAAGTGGGTTTGAAGATGGTCTGCTGGAAAGCCCCGTAAAAAAGCACAGATAAGGGGACTGCAATACAGTGCAGTACTGCTGAGGAGGAAAATAGGCAGCTAACCCATTTGCTTTTCCCTTTATCACTCCAAGGGCCATCCTCCCTGCTCATAGTACTTGTGCTGCTACTAGATAGAGCTTATACAAAGACCTTCCTGGAACTTGCAGTGGTTGGGAGGTTTTTGAAGACCACAAAGAAGCACCACCAACACAACGCTGCCTTTGTAAAGCAGCTCCTTTAGATGTTGCATTCATCTTTTTCCTTCTGCTGTTTTGAGACTGAGGCAAAGTTGACCAGGAGCAAGAACCATAAGACCCAAAAGTTCAAGTCTAAAAAATAATATGTATATATCTTCCTGCCTCATTTTTAGATACCTGAATTAGCAACCTTACTGATATACACATGCAACTTATACACTAATAAGTCTTTCTGCTATAAGAAAGACTTATCTGGAAGCAGAGAGGACTGACATGAGCGGGTACCATGTGATATCAACCACTGAATTGTAGCATGAAGTTCAAGCTATATAACAGGCAAGATACTGTCAACGGGCATCTGTAATGGCCTCCAAGGCTGCAAAAAGGGACATTCTTGTTATATGCAAGGAAAGAACCCTTCACAGTCTAGCAATCACATAGCGGAGTGCGTATGCAGAAAGGTAGTGCAATCTCCATCCTTAGATTTTCAAAGTTCAGGGAGACCCCGAACAACATGATTGCAGCTTTAAAGCAAGCCTTGTTTGGAACAGAAGATTGTTAAATGACCTCCAGGGGTCCTTTTGTTCCTATGAGTTTTTTAAGGCATTAGCAAAACCTCAGTTAAAAATGCTATGCATAGATCTAGTTACCAAGATTACAAAAAAAAAAAAAAAATCAAATGTAAACAGGTGCAGAGAAGGACTACTGGGAAGATTCTGAGAATGAAACCTTGTTTTATTAGCAGTTAAAACTTCCTGGCTTGCTTTTCCTAGGAAAATAGAAGTTTAGAAGGGACAATTACACATCAATTGTACTGATGAAAGTAATTCCAGAGAAAAAATGCAAGTCAGTTAAAAATATCTGACACAAGATCAAAGAAATAAAATGCCATAAAGAAGTTAAAATTGGAAACTGGAAGTTTCAAGGAAACAAGGGAACAAAATTCTAACACCTTTCTGATAGGAGAGCAGGAGTAGGGGATCAAACAGCTTCAGGAAGCTTAGACATTTGTTAGAAGAGCTATTTTCTCCAGATTGTACATGCCTGGAGTTATACCATTTTTGAACTGTATTTTAATTAAATCTGGTTCTTCAGAATTTCTGCTGGTCACCTGGAATGGGCAAAGATTTCTTCTCAACTTGATACATAATTCAGCTTCTGGAGAGGGATCATTTTCATCTGAAGCATCAGTGTGCAATCACAATTAAAGTATGCCTTTAACAGTGGTATGGAACTTTAGGAGGCTGGTGGTGACTGCTCCTTCATTTGAGCAACACTGCTACTCTGTCCAGAAAAGTGTATTGGGGGAAAAAAAAAATCTTTCCCTGTGGTATGTAGAACTTGGGAGTTCTTCAGTACTATAATAAACCTTCAGTGCTTGAGGTGTTTTGTGCAAAGGAGGTTTAATTTTGGATTATCTGCAGAACATCTGTTACGCATTTGACTGTCATCAAAAGAACCCCAAAAGTCTATTTCACTTTTTGTTCCTAAGGGTGGGCACATCTTGGTCACATCGTATTTCTTCAGACCTGTGGAGGATTTGGGTGTGGAGGCTGTGGAGCTCTTCAGAGCTGTGGAGGATTTGGGTTTTCTGAGCACTTAGTTCACAGACATTATGTCCTAGCAGACAATCTTACTGAGAAGAGAGCTAACTGATGCACTCAAACTGAGCTATCTTTGCTTCAAGTGGCCTGCGAGGAGCTGTAGTACAGCCTCCAACTGGAAGGAAAATGGAAAGGACGTGTCCTTGTTGCTGACCGAAGGTCAGATGCAGTTCAGTGATGCAGGGCTCCAAAAGCTCCAAATTCTTGTGCTCTAATTCAAATTATCTGGGAAGAGCAAGTTGAGCAAAGCAACACAAAGTTGAGGGAGTGACATTAGAACAGACGGTCACTTTATTTTCAGCTGGTCAAGTTCTTCTGTCCTTGCAAATTATGCCTCAAAGAAACAGCAGTAAAAGTGTGCAATAAGGTGACTGCTAGAAAAGAATCTGAATTCCAACTCTTTCTCCCTCTGATGATCACCACACACTGCTAGCAGTCTAGCAAGCCAGACTCCTTAAAAACGATCCTTGTTCTCAGAGAAAAGTTAGCATCTTGAATCAATCCACCTACTTACAGAAACCCGATGACACTGACACTATTTGCCCTCAGCTTTGTCAGAACCCTCAAGATTTCATCCCATCCCCTCATGCTCACATAGGAAGTATGTTTTGATCTCCTCTGTGTAGCTCAAATCCTGACTTGGCTTTCTCTAGCCTAAGTTTAATATCTCAAAAGTCTACATACTGACCCTCCTGTTCCCTAACTCAAGGCCTCAGTATTTTTATGTTGTTTTCAGATACTTCCTTGAGACAACCTACTAGGCAGGATGTTCTGATCTTCTGGGTTTAGCATATCAGTATACCCCAGATGCAAAAAGTGTACTCACACTCTTACCTCACTAAAAATACTCAGCAACCTTCCCATCATACCAGGCACAGTTCCTGTTTCTTTTAAAAATAAATATTTATAAACAGAAAGAAGAGATTTGAAGAACTACAATGTTAAAAACATTCCTGCCAACAGCACAAATGTCTTTTTCATATATAGTCACAAGAACAAGTTGTACACCAACACAACGTAATTACAGTCTAAAAACCCTCCCCTCTCATTGGCTGCCACAGTCCTCCCCTGCAGGAATCCACATCTCTGATCACAGCAACCAACTCTTCTGCATTTCTCCAGGGTCTGTAACGGGGCTGCTCAGTCTCCTTTGGTGATTAGGTCCTCAATATATGCATCCAGCTCATCATCTGTATTAATATCAATGTCCTGAAACCAAAGGCACAAGAAATATCAGTGAAAAAGTGCATCTTGAAGAACAACGTAAGAATGGACAAAATGGAAATCCTTCCCATACTATCAGCATACTATTGCACTATCAGCAATATCAGTCATGATCAGCCTTTAGGTCCTGACTTCCAGCACTCTCCAGGAGTGAAGTTTTATCACTGCAGGCATCTGCTGTGAAAGCACTACTAGCACTACTTTGTCAGTCTGACTGTGCCTGGAAACCATTCATGCACTTCATGCTCGAGCAATACATTCAAGTAATAAATACACTGCACTTATCAGGGCCAGGTTACTTTTTTTGACCTACAACACACATTTTCCCCATGGTGAACAACTGCTTCCATCTGGTTTTAACTTTTTCTTTGGCTAGTCTTAATTTTATTTCAAACAGTGTGGCAGAAATTCCCTCTATAACACTTCAATACCATCTGCAGAAAATTGCCTATGCCCAGGAAATTTCTCCTGCACTCCCATGTTTCATAGAGTAAAGCAGAAAACAAAAGAAATGGCACACTTAAAGTACATGCCATGAAAAAAAACCAGCTATGAAAATTAATGCTCATTGAGAACACTAAAGTCTAGATCCCAAAAGGTAAGCAACCATAGCAATCAGTCATTTAGTTACTTCTGATGATCTGTGCCCAAGTTGCACTGAACTGAGAAAGAGCTGAAGTACAGTCAAATTCTGGACTAAGACATCTCAAGTGTATGGATTGGTCTCAGTGTGGTGAAGGATACTAACGTTGAGGCTGTTCTGGTTCAGCATCTCTTTCTCACCCACCTCCTGCACTTTCTGCAACAGTGCCACAATGTTAGTCCTCAACTTCTGCAGTTTCTCTTCTGTTTCCTTCAGCTTTTTCTCCGAGTTGCGGAGGTTTTCTTCGCAAGCTTTGGCCCGGGCATCAGCACGTGTCTGATATGAATTGCACAGGTTCTGCAGACCTACTTCATATTGTTTGAAATACTCTTTCTGAAGAAGACAAAAAGCAATAGACAATACATTAGGAAAAAGCACCACGTGTAAAGGAAACTCCAGCAGATGAACCTTCTAGAAGAATCTAGCTACTGCATACTGTGACTGAACTACACATGATTAACACTATTCCTCTGCTTTTGCTGGTTGCATTAGTCATCATTTCACACTTACATTTCTGATTTGTCTACTGTAGAAACCACAAAACAAAACAAACAAAAAACCCATAGGTTTTCCTATTCCTCAAAGACTAGAGCTGCAACAAAAACTGATTACATTTAGATTAAGGACATAGCATATTTTAAATAGTCTAAAAGCACAACTACACTGTAGTGTAGCATTGTAGCTCAGCTCAGCATACTGAGCTGGACAGCTTCAGTATGCAGTTGACTTCCTTAGTACGGACCACCACAGACAGCATAGCTTACTGTGAGGTAAGAATATCTGCTAGTAAACTAGTGGATGTAAAAATTCATGTACTGTGTAAGACTTCACAGTCAACTCTGTAAGACAGGACAAAGTTATGTGAAAGCAGCATGACCAGCATTTCGAAGTGGACTAAACAAATTAATGGAGAGAAAAGAAGAAGAGACACTGCAATTATACATGGAGAGGGAGGGGATAGGATACTTTGATGACTACCAAATAAGCAGTTCCCGGTGGCATTTGTCACCCACAGACACCTCTTGCAAAGCTATCCCTTCATTGTTTGTCCACATACCAGAAAAGAAGAGATAGCTCAGAGAATCAAGTACAACTTCTCTGCATATCAGCCTGTCATAGGAGGTATGCTGAACCACAGACAGGGACTATGCCTCTTCGCATTTTGACTTTATCGTGTCAGCTTGGTCATCTGGAAAAGTATGAGGTGGGGTTGGTTCCTCTGCGCTTTCTCCCATTTTTGTGATTACCTCCAAGTAAGTTACATTAATAAGGTCAGGGGCAAAACGAATAGATGTGCCACTTCTAAAAGCCTCTTAACCTAGACTCTCTTTAAAACCTTATCAGCAAGAGACAAGAAATTACGATAGTAGCAGCCAACAGCTTTCTCACACAGCTGTAAGCTAAAAAAAAAACCTCTGCATCAGACAGCAATTGTTGGAAGAAAGAAGGCACGTTTCATACCTCTCCTCACATTTTCTCAGCTACACTGGTCTGCTAAGGACCCAAGTAACCTTTCAAAAGAGTGCAACCTTGCATCCACAGGACGCACATTTGCAGTAAGAATGGAATGTGTGTTGGGGGCGGAGGGGGGAACAAAACCCACCTTTTTATAGGCATACACTGAACTCACCAAGGGAAATGCCATCAACTCTTCTGAGCTCATGGAACTCAGCTCCTTCTTGGAGATGGGAAAATTTGGAGGTAAGAAGTATCGCAAACAATTCCTACATAGGAACGAAAACAAAGCCAGAATCTGAGTTTGAAAGATCTGTTTGAAGACTAAGTCAGGCAGCAGCAGCTCACAAGAACCACTGTGAACCTACCGAAGGATCTGAACTAGTAAGTCTACTGTTTCTTGGCTGCTGCTGGGACCAGTGGTGTCTGGCTCAATTCTGATACAGTCTGAGGTAGAAGGTTCAGCCGCAATAACCTCCTCTTCCTGCTGCGTGTCTGGAGTCTGGTACTCTGGAGAGGGAGGCTTCATCAACCTCACATCCTCACTGCCCTTCTCTACCCTGAAAAAAAAAAAAGCGGAAATCACATATCCTTTTCTAACCTGAAACCCTGTTAATAGCTTCATCAGAATCTTTACACAGCCATCACCCTAAAAGACCTCTGGATTACACAGTATTTCCCTTCACAGGAAATGTCAAGGTGATAGGCAGACCATATTAAGTCTGTAGGGTCCATTCACTACAAAGCAGTAGAATGGTCCTGAGTATGTGCTCTCTAACATAACAGCAACAGATTGGTCTTCAGCATCTGTGAAAGTAAAACAAGGTCTTTCTCCTGGAAGTAAAATAAGTCTCCAAAAGACGGTAGTAAGTTACCAGCGATCTCTCGGTGTGGTGTCTGTAGGAACATAATCAAACTTCACCTTCCAGCGTACTGCATTCTTGCCTGTTTCCACAGCCGTCACACGGCCTGTGAACCACTCCTTGTTCACACGCACTTCCACATGCAGCCCTTTATCTGAAAGGAAGAAGACATTAAAGGTGTTTGCAAACATCTGGATTCTGAGAGCACGTTCTGCATAATCTTTAGAGAGCACAGCCAGCCTCAGGTGGGAGTGAACCTAAAGCTGTAATAAATCCTTCTCATGGGGTATGAACCATAAAAACACTGTTGTCACAAAGTTTAACTCCCACTTTCTCACAAATAAGACACTAATAAGCTATGAAACAATATGCCATTTTCAGATAGAGCGTTTCTGATGTACTGCAGGCTGACTGACATGCACTTTTCAGGCTTGTAGTGGCCACTAGGACAATTTACCATGCATTCCTAGTAGATCACTTTCCAGATAGGTTCTTGGAACAAGCTGCAAAAACTAAATGGATGTCTCTAGCAGAGGATGCAACACCATCTTACCTATAATCTTTCCTAAGGGTCTCTCAACCCTCCTCTTTCACAGCAGTGCAGCAGGTCTAAATACAGCCCTTAGTATTTCTCTGCTAATAAAGCTCTATGGTCCAGTTAGAAAAGGTAAGCACGATTTGTGTTACAGAAGCATGACCTTCCCGTGGCCCTACACTATGCAGCCAAACACTACCCTAATTAATATAACACAGCCTTCATTATAGATCCTGACACGCTGAGATCGTCTCCTGTAACATCAAGGGGGCTTAGCCAAACAATTTTGTTTCATATGAATTAGAGTCATCTCAGGGTCTGAGATAAATTAGTTTTACACTAATTCTTAATTTAGAAAGGTCATTAATGAAATCACATGCTTAGCTGATGACTCTAGCTCTGCAATAACTCCTTTCCATCATCCTAGATACTGGAGGGGAGCTCAAGGGTTCATTTCTTACCTTTCTGAGCTTTCTTCAGTTCTGCTAGCTCTTCTTCCCCTGCACTGTCTGTGAGCTGTGAGCAGAGAAAGCTCAGATTAGTTTTTCCCCAGTAAGATTATGAATGCTTGACAAATACCTTCTGCTGGGGAAATGCTGCAGTTCTTACCTCTACCACCACCTCATTAGAATCCTTCTTCTCCTCTTTCACTACCACAAATTTGCCCCGTTTAGTCTTCTCCTTCTTCTGCTCCACTTCCTCCTCAGACCCATCTTCTGTGGTATTTAAAGTCCTCTTCCGGGTGGTGGAGGCCTGCTGGAAAAACAAACTGTAGCTGTGGTTCAAGTATGTCAACAACCAAAATTTTCCTTCAGTCAAGTCAAAAAGTGCTCAGCATCCAATTTCTTCAGTTGAGACTTTAGTTAATTTTTACAAGTTTTGGTGTGCACCACAAGACAATACAAATATTCACTTCCTCCACCCCATATTATGTTTGTTTCTGGGGAGCCAGTCTGACCTCATGAAAACTTATTTCATCCCTTTTCTGTGAGGAGTGCAGAATGGCATTCTGACCCAAGATTAAAAAAATAAGAGATCTTGTCCTGCACAAGGAATGCAATGCAGATCCCATGTGACAGGGAAAGACAGGCTATGCAGAATAGTAAGCTAACAAGCTGACAGTTTTCATCCCACGGAGTCTCACCTGTGCACATTTCACAGCAACAGATTTCTTTAGAACTGGCACCTTTGCAGTTTTTGGACTAGGTATCTCACGTGGGCTCTTGGGACTCTGCAGGACAGCAGAGGGTGGCTTTGCTGCTGTAGCTGGTTTGGCAAGAGTTCTTAAAGTGCTGTTAGACTTTCCAGCTGTCATAGTGTGCTGGTGTGTCCTGGAAGTACTGGCCTCCTCCTTGGAGAGCACACTTGCCAGTTTGGGAGTGCTAACAATTGGCTGAGCTGGAGAACTCTTTTTCTGCTGACTGATGGACTTTGGAAGAGGCTTGGGTGGTGGTGGTCTGCTGGGAGCGTTTTTAATTACATCAGGTAAAGGAGGAGATCGTGGGCGCTGAGGTCTGGTCACTGACTGGCTGTTCTGAAACAAATGTGGGTGCAGGAGAGAGAAAAGGTGGAAGAGTCAGGCTCTGTTTTGCATTATAGCTAAGGATAGCACAGAAGAGTAAAAAGACTACAATGGTATCACAGCTATAGCATCTACCTCTCCTGCAGGCCGCGTGGTCACCTCCAGAGGCAGTTTCTTTAAGTCAGCTTGAGATCGAATTGGAGTGGTTTTCTATAAAACAGTCAGAAAGGTTATTTGTTAGTACTTGCCTGAACCCAACCTATCAATCAGATTTCCCGTTTAAAAATCAAGACTTAAAGTGTGTTCCAGGGATCAGGAGTCACTCCCATCTTTCAAATAGGAAATGAAGTGCAAGCTGAGGTACTTGTTTCCTGGTATTAAAATCACCCCTACCACATGAATGCCATACAGCACACATGGTATTAGAGGCTGAGAAGACATCACTCAGCATCATCCGTTTGCGTTAGAAGGTCCCTCAAAGCTCTGCTGTATTTAGCTGGAAGCCTCCAGATTCACCTGCAAAGCTTCCAGTTTTTCTTGCTGCTGGCGGATTCTCTCTGTCAGTTGCTTTTGCTTTTCTTCCTGTGACTTCAAGTCTTTCTTCAGAGTTCCCAGTGGCACTTTCTGCTTCTGCTCTGCAGCTTCACATCTGGCACCAAAAGAATACAAGATAACCTCAGCAAAGACAGAAGAATCTGGAAAGTCTCATGCATACAGCACTGTCCTCAAGTCCCATCCTGAAGGTAGCAGCAAAACTCCTTTCCTTTCTGCATTAGCCACAATCTCAAAGATGGATGTTTCTCCTTGAGAAACACATACACATTCAGACTCACAACCTCAGGATTTAACTATCAAAAGCCTAGCTATTAAAAAACAAGCCATTTACACTAGGAATTACTGATTCAGAGCCTAGAGATCACTAAATAATCACTAAATGTTATGATTGGCTTTCTCTTCTGCTTCTAAACTCGGGATTTGCACAACAATTTTTCTTCCAACCAAATTATGTCAAAATACCCTGTTTGTGTTAATTTTCCTTTTATTTAGAAACAAGTTGCTAGTAATAAGCTTTCTAATTAAGACACGCTGTTTATGTGTACATTCCAATAGAAAATGCACTTGCACCCTTCCTCCTAAGGCCATAACATTTTCCTTTGCAATATACCTAAAGAGGTATTTGTTGTTCCCCTCCTGTTCAGCTTATGGCATACAAAATAGTGATAATTATCCTACTATCTCAGGTTCTATCAGATGCAGAATCCTACCTGGAAGAGACCTTGAGAGAGAAGGAAAAAGGCAGGTAGGAGATAAATGAAAATGTGGACTTCATGTCTTAAAGGACGCTCCTTAAAAACAATCTTGAAGAGCATACGCATGGGCTGACTCGAACAGTTATTTACTTTAAGCAGTTACCCTACCACTAATTGCCTGAGTCACATTAGCGTAATCATATCATTGTTCTTCCGAAACCTGCATCAGCCCTGGATGGTACTGGGAAAGCTCCACATAGAGACATGGCAATTGTCCAAAATAGCAGCTTTGCACTGTACTGCTACCAAACCCATATGGGCTCTAGTGGTGGTGAGAGCCTACTCTATCAGAAGTGTTGATTAACAGTCACTGCATGGAGAAAAGAACTTTTTGCTGCTTCTGCATGAGAGTTAATCTGAAAGATAACCTAGAAGCATGGGGACCTCCAAAATAAAACAAGCACGTATTGATAACACATGAATTATACTTTCAATCAAAAAAAACAATGAAGCTAAGGAACAGTAGGAGGATTATCTGCTTCCTAGGACAAAATTCCAATACCACCACGTGAAAACAACAGTATTCAGGAGGATGAGTTATGAGGACTGGCATCCCCTTCAAAGCTCTGGTTGAATAGATGGCCATTATGAATGTCTCCAAGTGAAGAAAAGGGAACTGAGGAGGATTCCAAGATTGATCTTGCATCACAGAACTGAGTCATATACAGACCTGTCAAGATCATCTCTCTTAGGGCAAAGGCCCATCCATGCATGGATGATGTTAGATAGCAACGCAGTGTGTAAGGACTGAGACAAGACAGACAAAGCCAAAGAGATCCAGTGGCCTTTTACGCTCTCTTGGGGATCAAGCTATCAATCATTATCTGGAACAGTAAGCCTTACAGAAAGAGAGGACCCTGCTTGCCTGGTGGATCATGCAGAGGTCCAAGAAGCTGATGAGAGACGGTTTTACAAAGACATGTGATCCTGAACCTGCCACCTGAAGGGATCCTTCGATCTGCAAGATACACATCCACTGTGATCAGTTGTGTCAGTAGAAAGGACTATAAGTGGTGGTTTCTCCATCAGCTTGTTCTCAGCAGAACCATTGCAAGGGAGTTTTTCATGAAGTGATTACTCCCTCTGTTAAGGAAGCATCTGTCATCATTGAGAGTTGATTACATGATAGGAAGGTTGCAATTCCCAAAGACAAAGCTGATCATGTGGCATCATTTGCAAATTCCCTAATAGGGAAAGGCAGTTCAGCAGTCTCTCATGCCGTTGCATGAATTGAGGGTGAAAATGCAGTTAAAGCTATCTTTTACAGCAGAAGAAATTTTGAAAGACCCCATAAGTTCTGCAGACAGGCAGCAATTAGACTACTTAAAACATTCAGAAGAAATACTGCATCACTGGAGGCAGACTATCATACGCACCAGTGTATCAATGCAAGCACACAACCCACCTCAGAAAGACCTCTTAACCAGCCAGGAAGCATGGCAGGAAAAAAGCAGCTATCTTTGCAATCAGAGTAGCCTACAACTAACACCATGACTTTGGTGATGCGCAAGGAGCTTTGTCTGACCCGGAAAGATATCTTCAGCAGCTGCTTCTGCAGCTGCTTCAGCCACAAACCCAGATGCCATTTGGGACCCAACTGGACCTCAGATAGAAAAGAGGAGGAGGAAGGGCCTGACACTGAAGTCTGACATACACATACTTCCTCTGTGACAAAGTGAGCAATGGTGCTGCTTATTACTAGTCCCAATATAGACTGTGGTATCTGACAAAGTAACAGGATAAGTAAATTGACAGCCCACTGCTTTACATGAAAGACACACGGAGAAGGGCATCCAAACCCGAGTACCCATGACAATGCTGCAGAGAGGTCATACTAAACAGGTCTGAAAAGCAGTTCAGTGCCACCAGCAGAAACTGAGGTTTAGGTGGACATCAGACTGGCTTGCTGAAACGAAGGTGGGGAACCACTCAGTGCCAACAGTGGATACACTGCAGGGAGACAATGCCAAGACAGTCTTCTGATGCCAGGAGAGAGTCTGAAGATGTAGTCTGACAGTGCTTCATCATCCACTTGGCTGATGAGATTCTGCAGAGATCACATGGGTCCAGGAAGTCTGCAGTTTAACAGCACAATACAGAGAAGATGGGTAAGAATTCATCTGCATTGCCTTACCAAGGATCAATTTCTAGCCTGCCCCAAGAAAGACCTGTATTGTGGGTCCTCAGGGAGGTGCAAAGGCTGTGGGAAAGTGATCTGACTTAGGCCAAGCCAGCTACAGGATGATCACTACTGTCTACATAGAGGCAGCAATCCTCATGGTATGCAAGCTTGGGCCCCCCTTTGCGAAGAACCAACAATAGCAATGCTCCTCAAGTCCTTGGTCCTCCTTCCATCATACTCCCATGGCAGACAAATGCCTGGAATAGGACAGGTGGGGCACAAGGTCATAACACAGCAGTGAAGGTCTCGAAATCCAGGATGCAAGGAAATAGCAAGAAACCTCAGATAGCAGAGCACTTCAGCTCAGAGAGTAATTCAGAAATATAGTGACTGCAAGCATGCTCTGCTTTTTTATGGCACTGAGTCAGAGGAACTCTAGTACAACCTCTATAGCTACAACATGGGAAAACTTTCTATCTCATGTGAAAGGACTCAAGCACACTCACTGTCAGAAAGTGCGTGTCAGCCTACTCGATAAAAATATTATTGAGCTATTTACTCTCCCAAAGGGATAATCCTGAGATTCCCCTTTCAAAGAAGCAGAAATCATCAGAAATTTAGATCATCTCTCCAAGAAGTCTTATCTGCTCCTACCCATCTTCCCAAAAGGAGAATTTGATACCAAGCATGCGCACACTTTGGAAGCCTCAGTTTCAACTCCACAGCTCAGTAAGGAACACATGATTTGCAGAATATCCTCTCCAAATTTTCAGAGTATTACAAAATAAAAAATTTTAAAAAGTCTTTCCTTAGTTCTAAGGATACCCTCAGCACAACAATACTCTTTCTAGTTCTACATCAAAGCATGAGAACAGGGAGCAACAGGAAAATTATCAGCACTTATCATTCAAATGGAATGTGCCAAAGGGAGAAGTTAGAAAATCAGTACTTTGCAAATATCAGCATCAACACATCTTTGCTAGCCTTTTTGTCCACAAACATTAAGATTTTGATTCCAATTAAAAGTTACCACCTGGATTCATCCCTTCTGTTTTTAAGCACCAAGCCACGGCACCTAAATTATGGCCTGACCAGCTTCTTTCTTTATTCAACCAAGAGATGAATGAAATTCTGCCAGTATCTCTCCTCTACAGAGAGAAAAGAGAAGCCTGGAGCAGTCGCGTTCCTCAAATAACTCAGTAGACTCTACCTAAGTTTTGTAACTGTAGAACCCGCCTTTGGTATATGAATCGATGTGCTGCTCCCTCAGCTGTGCAAAATGTCTTTGTTGGGCTCACCGCAACTCAAGAGCTGTTACTGTAGTTCAAGGTTTTAGGCTTAATGAGTTGGAGCAACAGCAGTAATAAAGACTCCACTGAGCACTGAATACATACCACTCCCAGCCTGTATTTATGACTGTTCTTCAATTGCTATCTATACTACCTAAAAGCTAGCATGGATAAAGTAAGGCTGCAATCATACTTCCGGTGGCAGAGCAAAAAAACCCGAAACAAAAAAACAAGAAGGAACTTAATTTACTCAGTCCATCCCATCCTGTTGAGCATGTCAGCTCAAAATACGCATGTCATCACTACTCATTCACAGACTGTGAGAGCAGTTTAGTTTACAGGTATAGAATTATTGCCTATTCCCTGATTGTCCTAAAAGAACAGATAACCAAAAAACATAGATAAGACACACTAGAGAAAATTCTTTACATAACTGACTCTTACCTGTCTTGTTCAGGATCAGGGTTCATAGAGCATACCCAACTATCAGGATAGTTCTTCTCCACTGAGCTCAGCTGGAATGGGAGAGTCCGCCATTTCAGACATACATCTGTTAGACAAACACTACGCAAGTCAGAAATACAGCTTAAGCCATAAAAATCAGGATTTTTCCATGGCATTCATCAAGCCCATTTAGCACCCAAGGACGATGTTGATTTCCAAAGTATATTTAATGACAATAGGACTAGTGACCAAAAAAAAAAAAAAAAAAAAAA